CCCCACGCAGAGGGAACAAGGGTCCACAGCGGCGATTGCCTCTGCTCCTTGCCCAGCCTTTCATTTCAGCACGGGCACGGTGGTGCCGATGAGATACCCACCATCACCCCCCCTGGGCTCGCCCATATTTGTAAGCCTTTGGGCAGAGCCCTGCCTTGCTCAGCCAGCAGTGATGGCCACAGCCCCGCAAGGCCCCAACCTGTCAGACCTTCCCCAAGCAAGAGATTCCCCCAAAACACAACAAAACTCATCTGCTGAGCCAAAGGAGCTTGAGTTTATTGGCTGGAGCCAGGGCAAAGAGGGTCATTGCGATGGGGAGCACAGCCCGGGCACAGGGCTGGGCTGTGCCGCGCTGGGTCGGTGCTACGTGCCCCCATGGCTCCATCCCCCAGGCTGCCTGCGAGGTGCTGCAGCTCCAGGTCTCCTCGCCAGCGGGGCCTTACACAGCGGTCCCCACTGAAGTGTCCCCAGGCACGTGGCTCCTCTCCTCGCTCATTGTTTTCTCTTCGAACACTCGTTGGAAGGCGACTTTCACGGAGCCTTGGAAGCGGCAATGCCGGCAGCTCCCCACCAGGAAGTAAATTAATGGGTTAATGCTGCTGTTCAGCGATGCCGGCAGGTAAGTGATATGAAGGTAAACCAGGTTAGAAGAGTCAGGTTCAAGGAAAAGCACCACACTGAAGGGGAGCCCCAAGGTGAACATGAAGATCACACTGAGCAGGACAACAACATAGATTTTCCCTGGGTGTCGTCTCTGTGAGCCACATCGGAGTCTGATGAACAGGCACAGGTTGGAAATCAACGGGAAAAAAGAGAAAGCGAGAAAATTCACAGTGCTTAAACCTTGCAATAGTTTTTCACAGGGCGTATTCCCAAATGAATAACAAGTAATCAAAGCCGAAGAATCCAAAAGTCCGGTGACAGCCCAGAGCACCCCACATGTGATGCCTGACAAGCGCTTTGGGCGGTGACACCGGTACCAGATCGGGAACAAAACAGACAGGCACCTCTCCATGCTCATTGCTGTCAGAAGATACATGCCGGCAAAATACCAAAACAGAAACAGACCTATCAGGATATAACTGCTCAGAAAATAGTTATATATTGAAACACAAGAGGATTTTGAAATAATTTGTAGTGTAAGTATAACAAGAAGGAACAGGAGCAGAGAGAAGTCAGCGACGGCCAGGTTCAGGACGTAGACAGTGAAGGGGTTCTTCTTCATCCGGAAGCCCAGAAACCACACAACCATCATATTCCCCACAAGTCCGCACACACAAATGCCAGTAAAGACAGCTGAAATTAAAAACCAAGTATAAGCTGGCGTCGCACACCATAATGAAAGAATTTCCTGAGTGTCTACAGGTTCGGTAGTCTTGTTGCTCAGAAATAGATCTGTTGTGGTGATCTCCTCCATGGTAAATGACCCTGCTCTGGGTGGCCACCTTCTC